TTCAATTCCTCAGTACCACATAAGCAAAAAGAAAAAAAAAGCCAGAAATGGCACTGTGGCTCAAGTGGTAGAGCGCTAACCTTGAGCTGAAGAGCTGAGGGACAGCGCCCAGGCCCAGAGTTCAGGCCCCACGACCGGAACCCCCCCCAAATAAATAAATAAATAAATAAATAAATGTCTAAATTCTAAAAACTTGTAGTCATAAGACTTTTATTATAACCTTATGTACATGCTCATTTCACCATAAGATTTAAAGTTTTCTTTGGGGAAAATTTTTAGGCATAGCTGTCCCCTTTCCATAGTATTAATTAAGAGTGTTTGTGTATTTTATTTATAAATAATTCTTCAAATTGTATTAGTAGAATTTTCCCCTGCTTGATAGCATTTAAATTAGCTCATTTTCTACAATTGGAACATGATTCAAATGCTTTTATAGGAATCAGCTGCATTCCAGAAATTATAAAGTATATTCAAGTAATTAGAATATTTACAAATTTAAAATTTGTTAGATATATAATTTATATAATGCATAGATTAATATTCTTATATGGATCAATCAATATAAATTTATTATGCTAATTTTAGTAATAATGAGATATTTTATGCCAGGAATTTGTTTAAAGTTCACACAGGAAGGCTCAAATTCTTCATTTCTCTCTGTGGTCAGGCAAACTTTCTGGATTTGTGGAGGATAAAAAAAAAAAATCTACGTTAAATTCCTAGAAAGTACTGCTGTAATATATACTCTTATGAAACTTGACAGGTAATAATAAGGTCAGCAGAATCTCAGACTGGTCTAATTTGGAGATTTTTTTTCCCTCACATATTTCAAAGAAACTGCATTTTATAGCATCTGTCATATAAACAGTTTCTCAAATGCCTCCGGAATTAAGTAATAGTCAGTAGAGGTATGTGGCATAAATTACAGAAACCAGCAGCCTCAGGACAAGCTTAACAGTGACCATATTAAATCAGCTAGTCATACAACCTATAAAGGAGAAAGTAAAAAAAAAAAAAAAAAAAAGCACCGCTCATGCTGAAAACAACTTTTAAAATAACTCACAGGGTTTCACTTTATATAAGGAAGTGCCGCTGGTGGCTTTGCTCTCACTTGCCATTAATGCCTTGACTTTCCAACAAGGCCTCAACAGGTAGGGACAACTCTCTGGGCAGCTGTTTCTCACTAGCATTTCCAACCACTGCCGCCATCAGTGAAGGAGCTGGTGTGGCACGCTGCATACATTTCTTTGGTAAAGACCCTAACATCCAGAGATAAAGTCTTTAAAAAAAAACTATTAGAAGACCCTTACCTCCTAGGAAAATTTGGAGGGAAAAAAGTAATTCTGTATCGCTTGTCATTCAAAGTGGTATAATTAGAGAGAAGAAAATATTTCCTTTTTTTCTTGAGACAAGGAAAGAAAAATAGAAGCTAACCAATGGTAGAATAAATTAGGAAAAGTCTTTCCTGAGGACCCAACATATCTTTTTTTTGTTTGTTTCCCATTGTTTATGTAACGAATTAGCACAACTTAGTAGTATTTATCAGATTACAATTCTCATTGTTAAAAGTCCAGAGTGACTCTTACAGGGTTGAAATTAAGGTCTTTTTTTTGAGGTTCCCAGGAAGAATGGGCCCTTTCCTCTTGCAGCCCCTGCAGGCTGCGAGCCTTGCCTCAGACCTCTGCTCCTCTCCTACAGTGCCACTTACTTGTGAGTCCATTTGGAATACCTGGAGAATCCTGGCCAATCTCCTTGTCACAAAATCCTTAACTCCATCAAAACAGCAAAGACGTTTTGTCATAGACTATTCAGAGACTCAGATTAAGATGTGATATTTGGGGGCCATTGTTCATCTGCATTTTTCTAACTTGGGGAGGAGAAAGGAAATAACAAAAAAGGGAAATAATAAAATAACAAAAAAATAACAAAAGGATACAGGTTGACCCATTGTAGCAATGAGATGTACAAGACACTATGTTAAAAACAAAACTCTACAATTTGGGGGGCAGGAAGGAGGGTTGGTGGATGTAGAAAGGAAAGGGATGGTAGGGGAAAAACAAAGGAGGAGGTAACAACGCTGGATAGGAAATGTACACATTACCTTACTTACGTAACTGTAACCCCTCTGTACACTATTTTTTACAATAAAATTTTTTAAGGTAAAAAAGAAAAAAAAAGCCAGTGAGGGAAACAGAGAAACTCCATCCTAATCAAATAGAAATTGAATCAAATAAACAAAAATTTAGAAAAAATACTTGAAGCTTTCCAGGCATTGATGGATCATGTTTATTATTTTAGATACTCAGGAGACTGAGATCTGGAGGATTGTGGGTTGAAGCCAGCCAAAGCAAAAAAGTCCATGAGATTACATCTCCAAAATAACTGTCAAGACACAAAGTGGAGGCGTGGCTCAAATGATAGAGCATCAGCCTTACAAATATGTGGTTCTGACTTTAAACCTCAGGCCTGAAAGAAAAATTAATCTCAAACAGTAAAATGGGAATTTCCACATACAACATTAGAAAATTTATCAATATTGGAAAGCATATCAACATGGTTGAATATTTTAAGTATAATAAACTATTCTATAAAATGTGGATCAGAATTTAAGATGTAGTATTAAAAATAAAGTGAATGATCCTGAATTATGTATGTATGTTCAACATCTATGTAAGATAGGGATATTTACATATTTGAAGAATAAAGATAAAGATGAGATTACCAAAGTTCTAGAGTTCTAAAGTTCATATTTATGTGATGAACCATATATCTAAGGAATAATTTTTTGTTTGTTTTATGTAAGTGTACAATGGCACTTATAAATTTAGATGATCCATAATTAGTTGATCACTGTCGATGAAGACAGAAGACCTATATTTTACTCAATAGTCAATTATCATGTTGTTGCCATGATTGAATTTTTTTTATATTTGCAAAGGATTACATTACTGACCTTGAGTACCAAATGATTCTGAGGTAAAATGTAATCCACAGGCAATATTACTTTATGACAGTGTACATTAAATTGAAAATTAACCATCAGTTGTATACATGAAAAGGATCTTTTAAAATTGTAATGAATTGATATGCTTAAATCAACTTCTAATTTGAATGTAATTTCACTTTGAAGTTTATCCATAAAACATCATTTAATACATTATTACACTATAATGTAAGAACATTTATGCAGTTTCCAACTGAGATAGATTTATTAGTGGAACTTATTAATAGTAAAAGTGTCTCCATTTAAGTCGTGAATGATTTCTGAGTGCTTTTTGTTATTTACATTATCCATTACTGTTTTGCCTCATAAGGCAAGCTTCTAGTTCTTAGTGACTTCTATAATCATCTGTCATTTCTATGAATATAATTGTATATAATTACATTCTTCTCATTGAACTTCCAGTTTTTAAGTTTTTCCAAAGCCCTTATGTTCTTTGAAGAACCAGACCTTTCAGTGTCATAAATTTAAGAAGACATGTTCCCCTGACACACAAAAGCAGCACTAAGAAATCAGACCCACCGCCCTGTCACTCATGTTCACACCCGCCTCCTGCTCCCCAAACCAATCCCAGTGTACTCCACTTCACACATGTACACTAAGTATCTTCACCACATTCACCCTCCTTCACGCTTTCTGTCTACCTGCCTTCCTCCATTTTTTCCCAACTGTGGACAGGACTTGTTTTATATTCTCATCATTCTTTTTCTTTTAAATGTATGTTAATTGTTCAAAGAGCTTTTCATGGTGGTATTTCACATATACATATACAGTACTTAAATAAAATTTTATTAAGTTTAGCTTTACATAAATTTTCATGTGTTTCCTCCTCCTTACTTTTAATACTAAATGTAAATCCTGGACCATCCATTGCAATACCTATATGTAGTCATAACTCCTTTGCATTAATTATGAATTCTCCCTTGGCAGAGGTCTTTTGCCAGATTCTTATTAATGAACATCTGTAGATTTTCCAGTACTTACAAATAAATTTCAGTAAATCATATTGTAAATATATTACTGTTTTTATGCAGTGTGTCTCTAATAGTACAAAAAGTCAAAATTTAAATGAATACATAATTTGCTTCAAATTGGTGAATTTACTATCATAAATTCATACAAAGTTTCATCTATACTGACAGAGAATTAACATGCTTTTTCCCACAGCCTACCTACAACAGTGCTGTTAAAATTTTAATGTTTTTCCTTTGTCAGACTAGTAGGTAAGTAATGGTACTTCAATGAAAGTTAATTTGGATTTGTCCATGATTAAGTTTTTACTTCTATATCAAACACTATTGCTTTAAAACATAGGCTACTTAAAAATGAAAAGTGATTCTTTTTAAAGTACCAAGAATATAAATATATAATTAAATTTTGGAAATTTAACACAAGACTATTTTAAGCCAAGTTCAGATTGCTAATAATGTTATATATGTAAAAAAGTTAGATATGGCTCTGAAAATAAACTGCTGATGTTAAGCATTTTATTCAACTGTTAGAGAAACCATGCTAAATAACTAATCCTCCCAAAGACAAGAAAATACTCACTTTAAATAAGAAGGGTATTCGATAAAGTTTAATAAAGTATTCAGATATCTGGAGGAGAAAGAAAAGCCTATAAATGATTGTGTAATTGCAGAGTTTTCTGATGGCAGATAATGATTTTCTGAAACACAGGACCCAAGTATATTGAGCTTCATTTGAGAACCTCAGGCCAAAGCCAGTTTAAATTGAATATCCTAGCAGAATAAAATTGAAGAGTTCTAATTCTTGTCCTTGGAATATTTGAGTTTTTCCATTGCTCTTTAATATTGTTTCAAAATATGTTAATACTACCTTTAGGTTGAATAAAGTAGGTTCTATGGTTATCTTACTAATTTAGCATCAACAAATGGGTGTCCCCTTCAATAAAAAATTGTGTTCCTTGAAAAAAAATGCAAAAGTATTTAGATAAAATCATTCCTGCCAGTTAATTCTTACTTATTTTGTTTTTCAGCACCCTCTTTGATAGGAATGGTAAGAAAGGATTGGGCGTCACAGAATAGCATCGCCCTATCATGGCAGGCACCTGCTTTTACCAATGGAGCCATTCTGGACTACGAGATCAAGTACTATGAAAAGGTAGGTCTCATTTTGAGCTTCCTAAAAAATTATATATACATTTTATGTATATATATATATGTCATGAATGTTTTCTTACTACATTACATCAGTTCAAATCTGGTTTTCTCTGGCCTAAACTCATACTTGTGTAAAACAGATTCACCCATCAAAGCTCAAAGGATGGACTCAGAGGTAAGAAGTGAAACAAAGTGAGACTTTAATGGTTGTGTTGCAGGATTGAATATCTCTGATGGCACACTCAGAGATTCAAGCAATGTTGTATCTAGAGCATGATGATCCCTTTCCCTCTTCCTCTTGGTCCAGGTACTATGTGTTCCACATTCCTTCTTTGACATCATCTTACTTACATTATGTTCTGTTTGGTAAATTTGGATATGTGCACCAACTGAGCTTCACTGAAGATTGAAAGTAGGCTATTGATGGGTCTGGGAAGGTGGCTCAGTGGTAGAGTGCTTGCCTTACATGAGGCCCTGGGTTTGATTCTTCAGCACTACATAAGCAGAAAAAGCTCGAAGTGGTGCTGTGACTCAAATGGTAGAGTATTACCCTTGAGCTGAAGAGCTGAGGAACAGCGCCCAGAACCAGAGTTCAGTCCCCATGAAGAACAACAACAATAAAAAAAAGTGGGCTATTGACTGGCCCCTCACCTTTTGTTCTTTTGTGGCACAAATGCTCTTCTGGGTATCTCCTTTCATAAAGTTTATACCCATTTTCTCATTTTATTGTGGTCTATTCGTCCCTTTGCTAATTGGCATGATTCTAGTCAGTCTTATTTATCTAGGAGCTTTCCATGCATGAACTTTGTCGTGTATGCAAACAAGATATTAGTAATATTCCATGTTGGATCAAATTTATCATTTTCAAAATCCGTCACTACTAACTTTATTTCTAACATACTTACTACTTATTTTAATATTCTCTAACTTAGCATTGTGCTTATAATTTCTTAAATTTAACTTACATTATTTGGAATCAGATTAAAATGAAAGAAACTTATATGTATATACATATACATATTCAGATATATATGTATATATGTATCTTTCAACTTACAATTTGTTAATATTCTGTAGGGAATAAATTATAAAACTGAATTACTGTAATTTAAAGTGATTATGTAGCATAGTCCTTTGGGTTTAAATTTTGATATATTCCACTGTAATTTCAAAAAGATATATTAAAGAATAAATGGAAGTAGCTATTGCATTCAATATTTTCCACTTCATTCAGATCAATTATTTTGTTTCATAAGAAGCTAGTAAAATGAAATTGGTTGACAAATCAATCTAATTTCCCTTTCATCATTTAAAATTATTCTCAGCTATTATACTTTTCAAATTATCTATTTCTTTAATTATACTTATGTTCTTTTTTATGATTTCCTTCATATTCCTCACCATTATGGAATTCTTGATATAGATAATACAACCATATATATGAATTATGATATGTGTCATTGTTTTAGTTACTTTTAGAATGCTGATAAAGGGCACATTCAATTTATTTTAAATGTTATATAAATCATCTATAATTTCCAGTGGTTTACTATAATAATAAAGAATGTCTTTCATTTCTGTAACTTGTCAGAAACAAAGAAATATTCAACCCTTCCCTTGGAAGGTTTTTATTTAATAGTTTATTGAAATAAACTATTTTATAGGCCAATAGATTAGTAGGAGAAAAAGAATACATGCTTATTATCAATCATGGCTACCCCAGAGCCACAAAAAGTAAGAAATTAAAAAAGAGTCAGATGGTTGCAATGTAAAGACTCTCTTCATAGTGAAAAGTGGGAGATGTAAATCATTTCATAGAGATAGTAAGCAATTTATAGAGAAAATGAATGAATCCAAAAGACAGACAATTGCCTAGAACAAAGTTTCTATGACCTCTCTGAGATTGACATACAGTCTCTTATATGATGTGAGTTTAGTCTTTCTTGGTTAGTGAATTTTTAGTGAAAATCATTAAGATGATTTCATTCTTCCTTGTTGGATCTGGTCTTTAGGAAGATAACTCATCATTAGGAAGATAAAGGATATTTAGGGAGATAAGGGATCTTCAAATGAATCCCTTTCTGCACTGGCCCTTGTCTGTTTTCAGTTTGAAGTCTAATGCAGCATTTGTGATGATACAATTTTTGAACACCAATATGGAAGCAACATAAATACCTTTATGTTTATTCTAAATCAATATATATAGCACAAGAGTCAAAACTGAATGCCACCTTTGTTCTACCACTCTGAATAAATGGAGGTGAATAACTCATTAATTAGCATGGTTGTGTCCAGTTTTTGCACTCTAGTAATTACATCATCATGTAGTCAATGAAAGATAACATCTTTATCTGATATGGATAAATCCATGGCTTAAGAAAAGAAGAATTTAAAAAGTTTAAATTGGATTAGTGATTTTGAACATTAACCACGCCAGCCGTGCTCAGAGAACCATTGAGCAAGCCTTTCAAATACTTCACCCTGTATCATGCTTTCCCTAGGAAATTTTATATATATATATATATATATATATGCATATATAAATATACATATACAAATTTATCCATTCAAATGCCTATTTTGAAAAAGCAGTGCACACATACACATACATATAAAAAACTATTCAGAATAAAATTATTTCTGTGTTTATTTTAGGAGACAGAAAAATTACTGGCTCATTTTCTAGTCATTTATGCTTCATATGTTGAGAATGAAAGTAACTTGTAAGATTTGCAAGTAAAGATAAGTCAGATTCAGCAGAACACCGTTCATCTAATTAAAATTGGAAAATCAGAAAGATTCTTAATGATAGTAGTAAACATAATATCCATGCTTAGTATTAGGTATGCAACATTTGGCTTTATTGTGAATACCATTTTAATAGAGGAATTGACAATTTTATGGAGACTTTTATTTTGTAAGAAAATTATAATGATAAATGAATAACAATGGTTTAGTATGTATCTTGAAGTCAAAGATTTCTAATTCACAGTCCGACTCTAATTCTCATCAGGCTTATGGCCAAAGAAGAAAAGTCAGTAAAGCTCTGTGTATGTGGCAGTGAGGAATAGAACCCAGGGCTTTATGCATGCTAGGCAAGCACTCTAGCACTAAGCCACATTCCCAAGTTAGTAAATCTCATATGCCAAAAATTCACATGTAGAAAACTAAAATAAAGATCTCAATCATTTTGTTGATTTGTAAAGATTAATTTTAAATAGATGTAAAGATTAAAAGTACCAAATCAGTATATAAAATGAATTTAAGCAAAAGTTAATAAAGCATCATACAGTACAATACAGGACCAGAAAACAACAGATTAGGAATTGTATACTAAACAAAGCATAAGAAAAATAAGTAAAATTTTTCTTTCATATTTAGATATGTATGTAGAGGCAATCAATGATGTTAAAATATTAAAATCAGACTTCATAAATTGATTGACAATATTAAGAATTTTTCCTATTGTGAATTCAAATTCTAAGTATGTATATTTTGCATATCTGTATTTAGAATACAGTTCCTCTTTCTGAATAAATACAATTAACAAATAGGGTAACTTACAATAGAATTCACTAAAAGCATTTTTTCATTGTTAGGAATCTAAATATTATTCAGTATGAAAATCAAGAGATATATATACATATATATCAGTATGCATGTTTATATGTATGAAAAACATATGTGATCTAATTTTATATTATTTAGGGGATCATGTAGAAAATTTAGATATTTCCTAATATGTATATTTTTATTTGTGCATTATTATGTAAGTTAAGGAGAAATATAAACAAATTGCATATATATCAAGCTGTTTCAAGTGTTGCTAATGGTAAGAGGGTAGAGAGTACTTAGAGTACTTAGAGAAGAGAGAAGTTGCAAATATAGATAAATATGGATGGATGGATGGATGGATGGATGGATGAATGGATGGATGGATGGACTGTCAATAGCTTTAGTAATTGTCTCCAGCAACTGGCATACCAAAATCTGTGTGCAATTGTTTAACTTAATGTCATAATCCTGTCACTCCACCTGTCTAGTAAGTGTCTAGAATGATGAACTCCTGTAATTTAACATACTTTTAAATCCCAGTATATTTTATTTGTACTGGTATAGTCACAAAAACTAAATATCGCCTTCAGTATTAAATGTATCTTTTATTTTAATCCCTTTTATGCTGCTAGAACAATGAACCTCAGCCCAGCTGGTTTTTGAAGAGGAGAGAAATTTCTTATAGTCTGGAGACTACAAGTCTGGAAAGTTCAATATCAAGTTTCCAGAATATGGGAGCAAAGACTAGTTCTGGCCCTGGTCAGTGAGCTCAAAGGTCCTGGGGTGTCTTTGAACATATTTCCTCATGTTTACCACCTTGAACTAGAAATGAGAGCTACAGGAATTGGTATTCTCCAAAGTATCTTTGTAGATCATTCTTTCATTGTCCTAAGACAATGGCTTCATTCTTTTCATACTAATTTGGTCAATGGCTTCATCAGATACTTGGTGTCCTCTACTGAAAATATTTTTCATTCTCTACAAGCTGACAAGGCTGAGAATTCTTCAAATACCCAAACTTAGTTTAATTTAAAACCTCATTTTATATCATTGTTTTTTTCCCATCTTGAATGTAAATATATGTAATTAAAAGAAATTGCTATACGCTCTAAAACTTTGTGCCTTAAATATTTCTTCTACCAGATGTCTGAGTTCATCTATTCTTAAAATCTATTTCCCACATGCCCTTAGGCATTGGTCATAATTCAGTCAGCTTCTTTGCCAGTTTAAAATAAGAGTAGCTTTCTTGTAGTTTCCAACACTCTCTTCTTCATTTCCTTATGGTACTTCATCACAGTAGCCTTTAGAATCTATCTTTCTAACTTAGTTAAGTTTCATATCTTCATCTGGCTTTTTTCCCCTCCTCTATTCCTTTGCCTTTCTTTTGTTCTTTCTCCCAGATCATTAACGATCTGAACAGAAAAATCCAGGTTATTTTTTCCTACT